ACAAATAATAGTAATAATAATACAACAACAACACGTATTGCAACAGTTAAATCTGTTAGACGTGAAAATGGAGTTATACCAAATGTAAATATCTTTACCAAGAAATCAACAAAGAAAGTTTTGTTTACTTTTTAAATTTAGAGTATCCTTAAACCATATCCACATACACGTACAACGATTGTAACAAAAAAAGATTTTGATATTGATACAATTGATAAAGAGGTATGAATAGAAATGATATATTGAATTATTAATGAATAGTGTTTTCTTTTTTTTTTCTCAATAAGATATTTAAACCAGATAAAGTTGACATACCTGATCGATTAATTGATTTTGATAATGATGATCAAATGTTAACAGCAAATGAACGTTTAGCAAAAATGAAGAAAAAAGAAGAAGTACGAAAAATGCTTTCAAAACAAAGGTAAAAGGCAAAAACAAAAGAGAAAGATTTTAATTATTTATTTCGTTATTTTTATTCTTATAGTATGCCAGATATTAATGAACATGATTTTAATGATGGAGATGTTCATTCATCTTATAATCAACGACGACTAGAAAAAGAACGTGAAAAAGTATGTTAGTAACAAAATACGTAGTTGCATTGATCTTGAAATTAGGATTTAATTAGATTTAAGAAATGAGATTAATTATCAATCTTCAAGACCGCCAAGATTGAAGAGCGGGTCTGATGACTGACATATAAATTTCGTTCCAGGAAAACGGTTCTCTTTTGCCCAGAAGTAATTGCATATCACTTAGAAAATCACGTTTAATAAAATAAAGCATTTATCGACAAAAAACATCGGAGAAGAATTTTTGTCCATCCTTTTTCGAGAAAAGTTTTTGATTAGAAAGTACTTTGTGTCATACATCATCCGATATAGTTTCGCGCACTGATTCCAGATAGACCATCGTTGTGCAATGAATACCATCTTGGACCAGAAAAAAAAATGGGAACTATCTGGAAAACTATGGTCTCTTGAAAAGCTCATATCTAACGTGGGTTTTACGCAGAAGCTTGGTTTTTTTAACGACAGGCATGTTTTCAAACTACATTTTGATTGACGGGCTGTCAACTCTACTCAACATTCGTAATAAAAACTTATGCCAATAGAAAGAAAGAGAACATATCTTGAAGTATATTTACTATAATTTGTGTTGATGAAAATTTTACTTTCTTTTTTTTTTTCATTTAATGCCCCGTCTGGATCCACACTGTGTCCTGGTCTATTTTACAGATTTGTTTCGTGTTTAAATCATTCTAGATGTTGAATTGATTTTGACATTTTCGAATTCATTGATTTCACATATTTTTATTATTGAACTATAATAATTAATTTATTATCTTTAGGCTCTTAATTTACAATCAGCACTTGCTGAAGAAGCAAAAGAAAAAAGTCGTCAAGTTGCAGGTTAGTTAATTTAACATTGATTTATTTGCTATGAACAGTCAATAATTGATTCACATGTGTGTATGTGTGTGTGCGTATCACAATGATTTCTTTTTTTTTTCAATTTAAAGATTTATAATTACCAATAAACGGGTGAGCTAATGGGAATATTTGCTCCGCTTCTGTTTTTTTTATGTTTCTTTTTTTTTTGCTTTGCTTTTTATATTGAATTTAAAAATTTATGGAGCTTATTTTGTTTCAGCAAAACATTATTTAAATAAATCATATCAACAACAAACATCTCGTCGAAATTCATAGATTTATGAAATTAAATTGGTTGATGTTAACAGTGGTAGTGATGGTGCTAGATTTTACTCACATCTTTTGTTTTCTTTTTCTTTTTTTGTATGTATAGAGTTTGATCTCTCTGTCTCGCTCTCTCTCTCTCTCTCTCTGTGTAATTTTTTAATTATACGCTTTGGTGTGTCTCACTATTTTTTTATACTGTGCATGTTTGTTCTCTTTTGTACTACATTAATTATAATATGTACTATGTAATCGAGATTTTTCGTTGTTTTTTTTTTATTCTTTGTTTAGAAGATCAAAGAAAGAAGTAATTCTCGATTTATTAATTAAAATTTGTATATTAAAAATGAGAGATAAATATAATATTATCAAAGGTTGAAGAAATATCTTTGCTTTGTTGGAATAAATTGTGGCCTTCTAGTAAAAGAACATTTCATTGTCACTAAAAGTTTAAAATAAGAGATTAGAAAAGGTCGAAAATGTCGAATATGTTTTTTTTTGTATGACTTTTTTTTTATCTTCATGAATGATTAATCACTAAATTATGAATGAATATTTCATTAAATATTAAGACAAGATTGAAACTATGTTTTGAACTTTTATATGATGTTTGTTTAATATAAATTATTTTATCAATTTATTAATTATTTATTTATAAACCTAAATATCATACAGATATATTGATATGAATAGCATCAAAATCAATAAATATAAATGAAACTATAATTAGAATCTACTCAAACGATTAACAGATGTTGTCTGACAAAAGCAAGCAAAGAAATGAAAGTTGAGTAACTCTTCTAGTGCATGTATAGAGATATCCGGAATCAACTCTAGTTGCGGTCTGAATTTCAGTGATCGATACTAAAGATTATATGTGTAAATATTCTATGGTTTTAAGTACAATATCTCATAAATCATATCAATCAGAATATAATTCAAGAGAGATGACTCAAAAAGTGCTAGTCGTCGAAAAAAAACGAATATTGAAGAATTGTTTTAGATATGATACGAATAAATTGTGAAATAATTTTCTTTCAATCAAAATCGGAATCAGATTAGATTTACTGAGGTTAGGACCAGAACCAATAGCAAAAAAGTGATTGAGATCAAAACTAAGAAAAAACTTGGCTCTACACATTTTTTGTTCACGTGATATTCTCATAGATAGTTAATAACAATTTTTATGTTTTGAAAGAATCTATTTTACCTATGAAATACAATGATATAATTTGAATTAAATTTGCATTGCCGAGTAAATGAAGTAGTTGTGTGTTGTATATTTATGTAAAGTTTTGTTTTTCAATGCAATGCAAAATATCTGAGAGTAAGTCGTTAAATATCTTTTTTTATCGACCTATTTCCTTTTTAACAATAAACATCAATATTGTTTTGGTCTTTTGTACATATACAATAACAACAAATATACTCTACCATTTTTGATCGCATCTATCAATCATTCGTTTTTGTTACTATTCAAAAGAAAAAAATAAACTTAATCAATGAAATGGTTGTTTTTTGTTCTTATATTTTCTACATAATGATGAAAGAATTTTGAATTTGTAGATATAAATAAAATGATGTTTTTTTTTTGTAAGATGTTATATAACAATGAATTCAAATGCATGAGACAGATTATGAAATTTATTTAATCTAATGTTACAAAAACATCATGAGCAATAAAAAAAAGAAGCTTGTTCTACAATTAAAAATTTACCAATGAACATCTCTGTAGCTCGATTTTTGACATCTCAGAAAATGATTTAGTTTGTTTTTGCTACAGATAGTATAAAGAGTTCTGGACTCAAATTCGATATTGTTTCCTCTACATGAATGAATTGCAAATCTTTAGTAACACTAGTACGAAAAAATGAAAGAAAGTCTACGAAATTTCTTAGTGTTGCATTTTATAAAATTCTATGTCTGTATTATACAACAAAAAGCTCCCAATATTTTATTACATATTAGCCGATATACGATTATTCTTTAGTATAAAATGCACTATAGAGAACGTTATTTAAATGAAAAAAATGTCCGTCTATATGTCATCATATTTTGTAAATTTTTCCATAATAGAAGGAGACAGAAGGCTGCATTTGAAATTGATTTCATCACTTCAAGAAATGTAATTACACTAAAAATTTAACGGAAAACAAACGAACTTTTACGAGACTATTTTCAAAATGTCTTTCTAAAATATGAATAAAGATTTTTAGAGCAAGATTGTTTTTATTTTTATAGAAGAAAACAGAATCATTTTTTCTTCGAAAGTACAGTAAAATATAATGTCCTTTCATATAAAAATGATGATGATGTATTGATTACAAAATATTGCGAACAAAAGATCCTAGATAGGAAAGGATACAAGCAATAAAGAAATGTATTTCGATAGAACATTTTACACTGTTCAAAATGGACTTTCTGTTATTCTTTATAAAAATTAATTTTTTTTTCAGCACATCTCACTCAAAAGTACGATTCTTTTCACAATGTGAGCTTCATAATTCAGTGATGATACGAATTAAAGTATCGGAATTTGGTATGACAAATGGGATGTTCAAACAAGAATAACATTTGAAAAAATCTGCTGGAATTCGTCAATTAGAACAAAAATTATACGAAAATACTTCTCTACGTATCAGTTTTTCAGCAAGAGAATATGATAGTCATGTCAAAGTATCTATAACCAGTTTCGTTTTGTATTTCAGATTAATATAAATAAGGTTTAGAATAATAGAAAAATAAATTTAAATTATAATAGATAGTAGAGATATTTATATCGTACTTCGAGTAATCCAAAATTAGTAGCCGAGGTATTTTAATTCCTTATAAAAAAGTTAAAGAAACTTTCTCTCTATATAGTCTGATAGTAAAAACAATGCTTTATTTGTCTATGATATTCAATCATTCTTAAACTAATATCATGAAAATAAATTTTCAATAAGACCTGTTTGGCTATAATATGTGATGGTTAAATTACTTCATTTTATTTTCGATATGTATTCTTTTCCTGATTTTCTTTTTGTTCTTTACTTTCTTGTCTTTATTCTTTTTTCTTCGCTCTTTTAATACCTAGCTGTCTTCGTATATATATGTCAGAGTTGACATTAAAATTCAGTTGCCTTTAAAAGGTAACTAGTTCAGTTGAAAATTTTATTGTCAATTAGGCGACATTAAAATTAAAGAGTCAACTAGGATGGAACTAGTTGACTTTAAAATGTAGATATTTAAAGTTGTATCATACGAAAAGTAGTAGCATCTTCGTGACATAGATGAGCTTAAGAAAAAAATAAATATTGAATGAAGATAAAAAGTACACAACAAGAAAATCCAGCTATTGGTTTAAAAATTTCAGATGTTGATCGTACAAATACTTCTTCCATAATTTTACCATGTAAAATAGCTGATAAATATTCCAAAAATGCTGAATTCATGCACATAGGTGCTATACAAAAGGGTCTTATAAAAGAACATTTTGACTCAAAAACATTTTTAGATCTTACTAATATGAATTTCTCATCAGTACGTTCTACTAACACTGACGAATTGCCAACTATTACCTTTATTAAAGCAAGTCAAATTTACATAAATTTTAAATCAACAAAAACATATACATGCTCTGGTGGTTGCAATATTAATCGATGTTGTTGCAAGAAAAATAATAGCAAATGCAGCACCAAACGCCACATTGATAGGAAATCGAAATGTAATAATTATTAGACTCTTGTTATGTATTTTCTCGTGTTACAGTATCTCGATTTTCTTGTTGTCTACTGTTTGTCTTTATTCAGTGTTTATTTTTCTCTCAAACTTGTCTATGTCACAAATATGCTACTACTTTTCGTATGATACAACTTTAAATATCTACATTTTAA